AGTAAAACTGACTGTTCTCAGCAATATAATCATCCCTCCAGAGCCTAGAAGGCTCCTTTCAATTTCATTCATCTGCCAACTTCTGGTTTTAAATACCCTGGTGTGCAGCATTCAGAGCACTGCCTGTTGTACTAGAATTTGCATTATTTGTTGATGATATAAAACATCATTAGGACCAGGAGAAATGCACAAGGAATTAGAGTAATTTGCCTCAAATAGATCCCTAGCAGTCAGACGTAAATCTGTATATGTTTTGTGAGCCTTCCTTTGCAGTCAGAGGAAACAAACTTCTTCAGTGACTGACTCATTTCATACTACAATACGCTCATAAGAAAAGTCAGATGACCCATTCTCTGGAATTATCAGTATTTCCTAGCTAACAGGGCAGACAAGCTGATTTGTATACCTTTTTCATGTCTAAATTTAGGTGGGACATGTTTCTTTCCTCACTGCTGCAGAATCTGCTATTACTCAGCCAATTAAGCTAAAGATATAATCTGCCCATCCTATAAACCCCATTTTGACAACTCAATAGAAAACAAAGTCTGGTGTTTACAGTATGTCTGGCTATTTTTGTGCACGTGAACACTCAAAAACTGATTGAACCAACGTGGATTTAAGTCTTAAGTCAGTGAGTTCATGCAGGAAAGAAAATTACTTTCCAAGTCTATTACCATTACCTGGGAGATAAATAAAAGATCTAGGTGCATATATAAGAATATATATATATATATATATATATATATATATATAATATAAGATTATATCCATTTTAACACATCCCTCCAGCATCACAGTATCTGAGGGATCTGTGACATTTTGGCTATGTATCCCAAAAGAGAGAATGGGATGGGCTGAGTGTTGGCAGGTGGCAGACCCTGTTTCATTGACTGAAGTGGTCCTCGATGTTGTTGTTTGGGTGGGATCCCCCTAATGTGACATTCATTGTCTGAAAATCTCTAGTGTGTGAAGACAAGCAGGCACTGCCAGAGGACACTGATGCCCATTTAATGCTCACCCATTACCAGGTGCTTTACAGAGACCTGGGTATCTGAAGCAAAGAACAGGAGAGCGGTCTGAGTGTGAGCAGAGTTTATGGGGTGGTGGGGGAGGGCTCTTCTGTGGGACAAGACCTACCCAGAGAGCATAGATAGGGAGACTTTGCTCCTTTGCTAGGGATCTGGGGCTGTAAAACATGAAGCTTTTCAACAACAGAGGGGAGGTGGCAGGGGAGGGGAGATGGATAAAAGCCAAGGAAGCTGTTTCAAACAGAACTCTCCAGGGAGATTTTGCTACAGAGCAACTCTCTTTGACCCACTTCATTTTTCTTGCCATTATGTATTTTTCTTTTCATTATCCACTGCTGGATAATGCTGAAACAGTTTCATAGGTCAGAGATAAACAGAGATAAAAAACCTCCTTTTGCACTGATTCTAATTCAGGGTGACTTTAAGAGTAATGTCATGTCTCTTATTGCATGGAAACTTCCTCCAGTGATGAAACTAAGTTTTTTTTCATTCCATTAATGTTTCCATTCCCTTTCTTAAGCTGCAGTTGTTAGCATCGTCTGCTCTCTACAGGTGTCCTCTTCCTTTTTTTATTTGTTTCCTTGCTGAGGCTTCACTGGGTCTGAATTACCATTCCTTTAGGGTTATTACATAACTTACAAAAGTCAACTTTAGTAACATTAATTTTTATCTTGAGCAGATTAATAAGTAATCTCATATCTCTTCAGGAATAGGAAAGCACTATTGGATAATTTCAACCACGTGCTTTGGTGTCACAGCACGTAAATAAGCATGGATTTACAGGTCCAACGTCAGGCTCTTCTAACACGACTTCTCTTCCTCAGCTCACCATGGAGCTCCTGGGAACAACTAGTATTATCTTGCTTGTCTGCATCTCATGCCTTCTTCTCTTGGCGAGATGGAGAAGCGGATCACAGAAAGGGAAGGAGCCTCCTGGTCCCTTCTCACTTCCCATTGTTGGAAACGTGCTCCAGCTGAACCCATGGAATGTGCCTGAAAGCTTGAAGAAGGTAGGGGACTGTTTCCTTCTTTTCTATGTTGTCTTCATTGTCTAAAAAAAGCCCAGTCCCTGCAGTCTGAGCTTAATTCACAGGCTTAATTTGCATTGACCAAATGTTAGACTCAAATAGAAACAAAAGGTTTCCCAGATATACATGCTTCTGAAATCTATATATCTAATTCTATATATTACAAGTCAGTTTATGTATTTGCAATGATCATACTAACGATGACTCACGTGCTGACCTCACAGGATTTACTTTGATTACAATCAAGGCACTGATGCTGCTACAATATGCACTATAATCCTCCTGTGCCCAACTCCTCACTGTGATGGAAACATGGGTTGGCCCTTTTTTGGGGGAGAACCCTGCTCCATTTTGCTGCTTCTGCTCCCCAGCAGATATGTAAGATCACCTGGGAGTGGAACTGGCAAGTAAAGAAATTTAAGCAGAAAGGTTTGGAGGTAAATTGTGCCATCCATTCTGTCCCCTGGCTGATGTCAACCATCTGGCAAAAAAAAAACCCTGTGTGTTGCAAGGTCTGGAAGGAATGTTCAGCTGAAGTGCCTGTTCCTTCGGGGATTGTGGGGGTATGGTGGCAGATATATGGAAAGGGTCGATGTTCCTGAGTTCTTCAGAGCAAAACTGTGGTGATGGCTGACGTCACTGGGTGTATTATCAGATACACACATACCCAGATGAGCTCATTTTTGCCCTTGTGAATGCTGAGAATTATGAGCACCCTCAGGCATTCTGGTATGTTTCAGAGCACTAAGTGATTTGGTTTCCCACCATGAAAAAACCCACAGGATTTCCTCTAGTTTAGTCTCATAAAGTGAGCATAAGAAGCAGTCCAGATTAGAACAAATAGCCCAAGAATCTGCAGTTGTAGCCAAAAGCAGATGCCTGGGAAGGAGTACATGATTAGTGCAAGAATGCACTCTCTGCTGACATACTCACTCAGTTTTCAGGGGTCTGTGGCCCAGGAAATTTGAGAAACAGCTTTGCTGTTTGTGCTCAAAAACCCTTTAGGCATTTGCTTCCATATGTGTAGATAATTTGGTTTTGAGCTCATGTAAACTGTTATCCACTATGCCCTGCAGAAAGGCCTTCCAGAATGTTTTGCCAGCCCTCAAATTTGGATTTGATACCTTGTCACTTCCATTCATATCACTACTTCTTGTATAATTCTCCCTTTCCTTGTCTGTAATTCATAGCTGACAGAGCTCTGCACTGCTGTTAATCAATGTCATGTTTCAGCAATGCTGGGACAATGGCAGATCATCACTCAGACCCCTTTGCTACAAAATCCTTTTCACATGAATAACATTCAGACATGTTGTTCTTTGTGTTCCTCTCTCCTACAGCTCAGCGAGAAGTATGGTCCTGTCTTCACGGTACATTTAGGCCCACGAAAGGCTGTGGTGCTGTATGGTTACGATGTTGTGAAAGAAGCTCTGATTGATCAAGGAGATGACTTCAGTGGAAGAGGTACTCTACCACTGATTGAAAAACTCTTCCAAGGCACAGGTATGTCGTTTGTAATGTTAGCATAAAAGATGCATGCTTTCAGTGCTTCAGGAACACAACTGAGAGGGCAGTGGAGGAGGGAGTGGTGGATTTCATTTACTACTTTCATGCAGACAAATCAGACATTAAAGATCAAAAGCCCAACTCATGATTTAGATCCTTCAGTAAACTGTGGTGCCCTGGAAAACTGTGTAGGGTCCCAGGACAGCTTCACTGAGGGCCTTTCTATTTTAAGCATGCCTCACATTCTGGCTAAAATGTTGTTCATTAAATGTGCCTCTAAGGTCTTACATTCATTCTCCCATTTCTGAAAATACTCTAAATATACGCACAGCTATGGAACCAGCAAAAGGAAATTCCACAGCACAACAAATATAAGATAATATAGGCTGACCCTGTAAGGGCCACATTCAAGATTATGCCATGAGATTATTCACCAGGTCAGTCCCCAGTATGGCATTTATCTGGGTAAATAGTACATCTTCCGTGGTATTATATACAGTGCAGTTCCAGTGATACTGTCAATAAGTATATGCTCTGTGAAGGGGCGTAGCAGAACATTTAATAGTTATGTCAGTGCAAAGACCATGTGCTTGTGGCCTAGACCAATTCAGTACCAGTCTTACCTACTTACTTACATCCTAACATAGTTCTGGGAATACACAGTTTTACTCAAAGTGTTGTGACAGATGGATCAAATTTGACACCTCCAGAATTGCACAGAGGTTACATTTTTGGGCATATAGCAATAACAGTGTAACTCCGCAGAGAGGTGTCTTTTCGGGTTCAGTACTTACTGTGTAGCACCCTCTTAGGGAAAAAAAACCTGTTTCCTCATGAAGGTCTATTTTTCCTCCCTGTGCCAGGCATTGTGACTAGCAATGGCGAGACCTGGAAGCAGCTCCGACGATTTGCACTCACCACCTTGCGGGATTTTGGGATGGGGAAAAAGGGTATCGAGGAGCGAATCCAGGAGGAAGCTCATTTTCTGGTGGAGAGGCTCAAGAACACACACGGTAGGATAAGGACTTCATGCCTGCTAGGACACCATGTACCTTTGCAATGAGACAATGAGGCGTACAGGGCTGTTTCACAAAATCTATGACCCAAGTATTGGGCATATGGTTGCTGTTTCTGCTCCCTGATTCAACAGGCAAAGTCATCACTCCTGACAGTCGGTCAGTCAAAGGCACCGTGACAGCGGGGAGGATAAATGTAGGAGACAGGGTTAGAAAGTATCCTTTTACCTGTTCTGCTTGAGCGACAAGACAGGAAGTGGCAAAATGAACAGCTTTGCCACAAAGCCAAGAGTTTGATGGAATTCAGCCATGGAGACAGGGCTGGACATTGCCAGCATGCAAGCAACATGCACCTCACCTTGTCTCCTGCAGCTCCATGTAAACAGATCTTGAAGAAGCGGGTGACTAGAGAACTCATTTACAGATATCTGGGTTTGGGTCCAGTCCATCTGAACACTAGGTAGACACACCTCCCAATTGGTGGGGCTGTCCAATGGGAACAGGGGCTGCTTTTGAAAGCAGAGTATAACGTAACCCCCTTGGTTTAGACCTATAAATGTGTCTTCTGGTAGTGTACAGGTTAGTGTTACTTTTAAATATTTCCCCTGAGAGTGGCACAGTATCAGCCTGGACCTCAGGCTTTCATTACACATTCCATCCAGCAAGCTCTCAGTGTGTGCTAATTCTGCAAGGTGGAAAAAGCAGATGGATCTAACAGAATGATGAAGCACCACTGTTTTCCATGAGCCACGAATTCAGTCTGGCTTCATAGATAAACATTCCTGTTACAAATTAGAGAAAACACTCTCACCTGCATTGCTTTTATCCTTTGACTTACACAGTAATACTTATTTCTTATGCTCTTATACACTTACAAGTATTTCTTATGCCCTTACCAAACTTCCAACTCTAGCTCACCTTGTTACAGCATCTTTTATTGGGTACTGAAAGGCTTTGAAGCAAGATATATACAACTGAAAAGGATAAAGCCATTATCTACCCCTAGTGCAAACAACAAATAGCTGATTAGTATCTTCCAAGTTCAGCATTAATATACTCACTACCTCTGATGAGACATCTGCTGAATTTTCAATGGCCAGAGAGTCACCAGTCAGGCAGAGAAGGATTGGTGCCATTGCTGCTTGGAACAGGTTGATTCTCAGTGCTGTCGAGTTGACATTTTCTGACTCCTTGGTTTTCTTTCAGGATTTTATACCTTTTCATGTTGTTGTTTCTCCTCTTGAAACCTTGAGATGCAACTTACCACTCTCTCTATTTATACTTTTCCTTTCTTTCTTGGGTCTAATCTTGCTTTTTTCTTATGCTGTTGTTTTCTTCGTAGAAATTAATGCAGCTGTGCTATCAAAACTAGATTTTGATCACAGGCATTTGAACCCCTAGGAGAGGGTTATACAATGGAATTTATGCTAATAGAGTTCATTAACACAATGCAATAACCTAAAACCATGGTTCAGGGAAAGTCCTCATGTTTTCATTGGGATTTCGTGGGAATCCTTAGGCCATTTCTAAAAAACAATATATAAGGCAGACAGGTGTGTGCCAGCTGAAGAGAACTAAGGTGCTCAGACAAGTGTTCAAGTGTTCTGCTGAGAACCAGGCAAAAGAGATACTTAAACCATTCTAGTTGAAGTGAAATTAGTTCACTTCAAGAAGAATAAATTGGACAAGCCTTTCACCATCCTTTCAAAGGACTGTGAAACTGTGGACCTCAAGAGGATGTGAAACTATCCTCGAGTGTCAGAGGAGGAGATGATCCCTGAAATACTGAAAGTAAGATAACATTTCTTTTGTTTGTTGTAACAGAGCGACCTTTCAGCCCTGACAACTTCCTAGTCCACGCTGTTTCCAACATCATCTGCTCCATTATTTTTGGGGATCGGTTTGACTATGAGGACAAGAAATTTCTAACTTTAATCGATCTGATAGATGAAAACAACAAGCTCCAGGCCTCTCTACAAACACAGGTGTGTATGGTTATATTTAATATTTATTATTATAATATTTATTAATGAATATTTATTCATGTTATTTGTTTTTAATTAGAGGGGACTTTCCTAAATTTTGGAAAAAAAAATTGAAAGTGAAAAAGACAGTTCCTGCTGTTTTTTTCTTATCTTATGGAATTGTGATTGTATGACCAAAGGATATAATTGCAAAAGTTGCTGAAGTGCAGTCCATCCTTGAATGTAGTAAAACCATAAAGTAAATGGCATTAAAATTCTGAGTAATAAAGACCTACCATTCCAAAACAGTTTAATTGTCCCATTTTCTTAGTTTCAATTGGGGAACATACTATTGTATCTGCATTAATCAGAATGTGTTTTTTTATCATTTTACTTTTACAGCTATATAATTTCTTCCCAACTGCCATGGAGTTAATACCTGGACCTCATAAACAACTGATAAAGAATATTGAAGAAATCGATCAATTTACAACAGAAATCGTAATGGAGCACCAGAAAACCATAGATCCCACTTGTCCTCGAGATTTTATCGATGCTTTTCTTAACAAAATGGAACAGGTATTGTAAGAGTAGAGATTTACTGGATTGTAAGGAAATCAGTGCTTGAATTACATCTTTTCACTTGTGATGGGGCACTGGGCTTTTGCAAATACAGAGAGGAACTTGCTCTTCTTGCCACATGGACCAATCTGGTTAATGTAATTCAATGCTACTTCCATACTAAAAAAGGTTCATAATATTATTCAGTAGAAGTACCATAAATGCTGGCGTTCTGGGGAGTGTCATGTTTTTGAAAGGACATTAGATATGTTTATAAACATACATTATGGGTACAGGACTTTTTAAACAAGCTTCTAGGTTTTATTATTCAAAATCTGCCAAATCTTCTTGCAGGAGAAAGGGAATGTCGACTCAAAATTCACCATTGAGACCTTGTCCAGAACCACGCTTGACTTGTTCCTTGCAGGAACAGGGACCACCAGCCTCACACTGAGATATGGAATTCTGATTCTCCATAAATACCCAGAGATAGTAGGTAATAGAAAAGGAAATAAATAGTTAAAATTTTTAGTAGGTTACAGGATCAGTTTAGACAATTCATGTCACTACTGCATGTGGCAATGGTCCCCTGACTAAGAAATATGTCTTTGCAGTGTGGAAATGTGTATTAATCTTAGTTCTATTCACAAGAAGGAGATGTTAATACTAAGTATGTTCATATATTCCTGATTTACTAAAAGCAAGTTGTGTTGTAAATACAGGAAGAGACTTAGGCTAACAGATGGACTACTTGTCCACTGAGCATTTATTCATTTCCTAACAGAGAAAATGCAAAAGGAGATTGATTCCGTGATTGGCCGAGACCGAAGCCCCCGCATGGCAGATCGGAACCAAATGCCCTACACAGAGGCTGTGATCCATGAAATCCAGAGATACATTGATTTCCTTCCACTTAACGTCCCACATTCTGTGATCAGAGACACCAAGTTCAGAGACTATTTTATCGCCAAGGTCTGTTCCACTGTGTCTGAGAGAGGTCATAATATTCTGAAAACAATTTTATGTTCTAATCTTTGTATTTTATTTAATTTTCAAAAGCACTGAAATGTTATATTGAATTGGAATAGTTTTGTTTGGAAGGGGATTCTGGTAGTTATTGAGTCCAACCCCTTGTATTAGAAAAGGAAAAAAGAAAATATTTTTCATCCTCTACGTGAAAAGTGAGGTAGAGCTTTCTATTTTTTTTACATAAATGTAAGGTGTATTCTATTTGGAAAAAATATTAAATACTCTAAACAGACTCACCACTAAAATTCATTAAAAAACCCATCTTTTCCATACCAATGTCATATATTTTCACTCATTAAATACTCATTTTAAGCTGGTTAAACTTTGACTATCTATTTAGCTCTGGGAACTTCTTTATCCCTCTTTGCTTTAGCAAATCTGCATTGTACCTTTCTTTTTTGTCAATTCAGGACACTATGATATTGCCTATGCTGACTTCCGTCCTAAAAGATAGCAAGGAATTTCCAAATCCAGAAAAATTTGACCCCGGACATTTCCTGAATGCAAATGGTACCTTTAAAAAGAGTGACTACTTTTTGCCATTTTCTGCAGGTAAGACCTCTTCCTATTTCAGATCCTAGACTATCCTCTCCTAGAACCTCTTTGAAAATTTCAGTGACTCCATTGCCAGGGTCTGTACAGTGATGTCTGGTGACATCTGCTAAAGTCACTTTTGGGAAGCTGTAACCCCTGCACTAGAGTTTCAGTTGACTTCCTTTCTTACCAACCACAAAAGTTACTTCAATGCCTTCTACAAGAAGTGGTGTATAAAGTGGGACTCAGCCATGCAACTTCTCTCTCTCCAAACTTACCATCAAACAGCAGCAGAACATGAGAAACCAGAGCATTCAAACCACCTTAGCCCACTGAGCACTCTTATTATTCTAGACCCTTAGTTCCTAGTTTAAATCACTTTCTTCCCCAAAATGCTGCAGTGGTGCCTGTGCCTTCTGAGACGTCTGAACTGTCAAGGAACAGTGGTAAAACCAGTTAGCAAGCAAAATACTCCACTGTCACCTCAATTTTTATTATTTTCTTTTCTTGCAGGAAAACGTGTCTGTGCAGGAGAAGGTCTGGCCCGGATGGAGATATTCATATTCTTAACATCCATCCTGCAGAACTTTACTTTGAAGCCTATTGTGGATCCCAAGGACATAGACATTACTCCAATAATCACCAGTCTGGCAAGCATGCCCCGACCCTATCAGGTCTCTTTTGTTCCACGTTAGCCAAGAGAAAACTGTTGCCAGCTCCCAAACTCATGAATGCTCTGGCTGATACTTTATGGAGACAAAAGTGCTTAGAAAAGAAAATCGTATGGTGCCACATCACCACAGCCAGTTCTAAACAGAGTAGGCAAATGCACGGAGACGAATACAGCTCCCCGGGCAAAATTATACGGGTTCTCCTCTGCACCTACTTCGCTCAGCTGTTTCCTGTCTGGCTCCTGACATACCAGGGTGTGTGGTCTAGCTGCCTGAGAGCCCTGCTGCTGTTGTCCCTATCACTTGATCATCTCAGCACAACAGAACAGATGCTTGTACTCCAGGGTTTCCACAGACTGTGCCTGAGGTACCTCACTCCTCTGTACCTTCAATTTGTTTGTAACCTATTTGTAAAGATAAGCGTAAAACAGCGAGATTTTTTCTGTTAGATGATGATCATCTAATATATTCTTGTCCCAGTACTTACTGTCTACTGTGGTGGGAATGGAGTTAATCAGTGACTGGGCAGATGGGTCATCTTCTGTGTGATTGTAATGAAGGTTTGTGAAGTTACAACTTATATTACAAAATAAAAAAGTGATACACTGAATTGTTCTTTTCCTGAGATCCCAGACCATCTTTCAATGAAAAACCTGCATCCACAAAGCTTGTATTTCCAAATGTTTTTCAAGTCTTGTACACCGTTGAAATCTGTTTCATTTCACATGTATACAAAATGTCATGAGCTGGCTAATGACCTATAAACTTCCATTCCCAATGTGGGATAATACACAACTTATGAGAACCCCAGCTGTATTACAGAGCTGTCCATTGTGGGACAAAAAGGACAAATTAAATAATACCAGGATATCCCCAGTGCCATTTCCTAGATAAACGCCAGCTTGCATCTTCCCATTTTTTTATGAAGTACGTAAAGATTACTACAGCAATGTTACAATCAGGAAAAAAATATAAATAGTGATTACATGAATTGCCAATCATACATGTACAGATCTAGGATTGGCATTTCTTGTCTTGATCACCTTCCATGCAATGTATAATATACAGTGATTACAGAGCTGAATCTGTGGGAAAAGACAGTAACTGTAATATTACCACAATGGTATTAACTGTTTATTAACAGGCCAAACTTGTTTCCTTTGGAAGTATTAATAAGCTAGATATACTATGACTTGGTGGCATAGCATGCCAAAGGCAAAAGCCACAAATGTCACAAATTCATAGAAATAAGTTGGCTCATCAGATAAAAAGAAGAAAGCACTCTGTAATTCTTTAGCTATGCCATGACTAAAATAGCCAAAGCAAATGAGGAAGCTGCTTCCTTGTTTCAGACATCTTCCTCCATGCTGAAATGACAAGGAGGCAGCCAATGCAGATCAGCAAGAAAACAACTTTAGCACCCAGACACTCCACCACGGTATGAAATGGGTGTTGAAATCAGAGGAGGGCTAAAGCCGTGTTCTGGAAGTCTCACTTTGCGTCACTCACGGTACAAAAAGCAGTGCAATGGTAACCAAAAACTGCTTACATTAGCTCTGGGTTAACTAAAAAAATTAGTCACTGTTGAAAAGCCCTAAATGTCCCATGAAGCCATAGAGTTTCCCCTCCCTGCCTGGCAGCGCACAGTGAAGCCTAGACTTTTTCTTCTGCAGGGACAGTGCAGACAGTGCATTACTTGCTCAGGTGCAGAACCAGGCAGGACTGTATGAATTTTCTATGGCAAACCTCGCACAATGTCCTGTCACTTGGCCATCTGAAGACTTTTGAACTTGATTAAATATCCGTTCTGCACACTGTTGCTATTAGTTCCCAAATAACTCTCACAGAACATTAGCACCTCTGTGAGCTCAAGTTTCTAAGATGCTTCCAAGAATCTGGGAAGCAGCTACAGAACCAAGTCAGCCAGGCAAGTACTAATGAAGAAAAGAACTGGCAAATTCTCCAACATACTTAAATGTCCCCAAGTGAAGAACTCAGTGAAGGAATCCATGAGGCAAATAAATGTACTTCTGCATTTGCCCCAAAACAGAGCAATAGCATTTGCTACTATTATAAATTAATGTGACTTACAGAGATTAACTGGATGTCTGGACAAAAAGGACAGATGTGGGTCAAGGGAGATGGGGTGATTCTCCCAACTGCCATTTCAGATTATTTTTGACCTCTTGGGACATCAGTGCTCCCTTGATAACCCCATACAGTAGCATGTAAAGCTATACATGACCGTCAAGAGGTTCAAACTTTCAACCTAAGAGTTGAAAGTGACTTTGTATGACATAGAACATTCCGAGGTTCACTAGCACTGCTTTATCCTGAGGATGAAGCTCTCTATTGGATTACTGATTAACACTGAGGAACTTTGGTTCTGGGTCTCACCTTTCTAAACGGATCTTCTGTTTGGCATGCAAATACACCAGAGATGTTTTCTAACATGAATCATAACTGTAACTCCCCCTACTTGTGTGCTGCGGGATATAGAACCTCCCCTCAACTGAGACACACACCCATGGAGCAAAGGTTTCCACTTCCTTGCAGTTGATGCCTCAGCTGATGCCTCCTGAGTTTTCCCTGCTGACACAGCGCCCTCTTCTGTCCCTCCGCAGTGCTGCCAGGAAAACACCGCGTGCACAGAAATGCTGCTCCTATTTTAAACCCAGGATATTTAAAGTGATGGTGAAGGCACTTGAAGATCATTCGCTTCACCATTTTTAAACAGCACTAGGGAAAAGTGTCTGTCCTGACTAATTACCGTGCTGTACACTGCCCACCACAATGAGGATGTTTACCACACTGGCACGTGACTAGACATTCTTCTAAAAAGACTGTGTTTTTTTCCTACATATCAGCACTTGTACTATTCTCAACTGCAACTCACTCAAAAGCCAGCTTGAAGTACTTACGGTCGACAGGTATGGAGTACGAGGCATGCCTGTTCAATAAGCAGGGCTCAGCCAAATTAGCAATTTGGAAATAGTTAATCTGGTAGAGAAGCAGCTTTTTGTGCTGGACATACCACTTCAAAAACTACTAGGATCACAACTCACTGGCAAAGTACAGAAAAGATCTCCTAGGTTAACTGAGCACGTGATAGAGCAATAAATCTTGCAATTTCACCTGTGGTCCAGGCAGTCAAAGAATGCAATTGCAACAATACTTGATGCAGAGTTTGAAACATGTTCTTTTCTACCATCTTCAGTAGCTGGAAGAAGTCTGTCCTTTGAAAAAAATAAAAAACCAGCTTACATAATCTTTCCAACAGGAACTTAGGATTCCAGAGAAACAAATGCAGCAAGTTGTTTTATTGTAAATTTATAGTAATTAGTCTCCCTATTTCAAACAGATAACCAAAATTAGGGTTTTCAATACCCCTCTCATAAGTCCAAAGGCCCAGGTATCTTCTCAACACAGAGGTCAATGAAGGAAAAAGTGAAGTTTTGGTCCTACTGCTATTGAGGGGAAATGTCTTTACAGAGGACTTTCTTAGGCAGAATATTTCATGTGAAAAACAGGACTAACACATATATAGCCAATATCAACATGGGTTAGGGACAGGTTTCTACTTTTCACTGCAAAACAACTGAGCAACAGAACCTCCTGAGAAGAGGAAAATATTATTCAGCCTTAAGCCTGAATACAGCCTACTGTATTCAACAGCTAGAAGTTCCCAGTCTCAATGTTAGCTGCAACGAAATCCTTGGCAACATACAGAACTGTTGTTGTGTAAAACCTGGAATCAGTCTGATTCATTGCCCAACTCCAACTTAAAGACTGTTTAACTTCATCGCTTCTCCAGTTTTTTGTACTTGGCTTCTGCAGAAGGAAAAATAACAATATTTTAGTACAGGGTAGGTAAGAGCTTAGTAAGTACCTTGTAAGCTGCTATACATCTTAAAATTCAAGTTAATTAACTGTATCATTCAGGATCCTTTACTACTAACGTATTTAGGTAAATATAAATGTACAATACTTTTTTCTCAAGCACACAGTGTTTAAATCAGAAAACTAATAATAACAATAACCTAATCCAAGAGAACCTGGGTGCCTTTATGAATTCCGCTATTTTCAGGATCAAACACAGATCATCAGTGCATATTGTAAAAGAGAAATCAAGCCTCCCTAATAAGCTGTAGTTAAATCACATCTGTACTAATCCACCATAATATAACTTGTTACTATAATCTTTTCCCAAAGGCAACTCCACAGCTCAGATTCGTTAAACAGAGCTTACTTTCTTTCTTTTAAACCCCCTTGCAAGGTACTATGTTGCTAAGTCGTAACGGTAGAGAACAGTAGTTACCAAGCTTTTTGGAATATGCATCCAATTTATACGCTGCCTGCTCCAGAGCTGCAACCTGCTCCTCAATTAGGTTTATTTGTTCCAGATATGGCTGAAGATCAGCATCTTCAAAAAAAGAGGAAAATTGTATCTGTCAGTTCTCAGTAATGCACTTCCAAAAAACAGTTCACACTTGAAACACAAGAATTTCTCATTACATTCTTCAGATAGAACAATTTAAAAGCTCCTTACTTCCCCTGCCCCAAAATTAAGTGGTGACACTGGCATCCATATTCCAGGAAAGCAGAAATTGTTTAAGAGTACTGACTAGACTCTAACACAAGTAACAACACAACATGAATCAAAATAAGTGCTATTCCTATCAGATCTAAAATCTGGGGTAAACCAGGACATAAATTCAGATGTATTTTCTCTTATGCTAGTCTACATGGTCTATAGGTGTAAAGAAATATACAAGATTAGCATTTTATAGCAGCACATCCATTTCAGTGAGTTTTCTTTCCTTCAGCACATAATGGAATGTGAACCTTCTGACTCTTAAGATGCTTCACTTCCCAAACAAGTGCACCATTCATTATACCCCTACCATATTTGGTGTACTTACATTTTTGATTCAAATCCTTAAGATTTCTACTGATGTTTATAGCAATATCTTTCATTTCTAGGTACTTCAAGCTAGTCAGCTTATTCATGTTTTCCAAGAGTTTGTAGTCTTCACTGGTGGCTTAAAAAAGAATAAAGTTTCTTTTATT